ACTGAAGATTCTTTACAATTAACTGGAATGCTAAAGTGAAAGCAATAAATTATTGATATACAATGCACAAACGCACACATTCATAAATACATATATACATATATATATATATATATATATATATATATATACAAATTTGTATACATATACACGCAGCCAAACGCATATATATATATATACGCATATGTTGTTAGTAGCACTGCACTGAATAAATGCTTGTAAAATTTCGATGCATTTACTCGACTTAGAGAAGGTATAAACACGCCATTGCTTTTAAATATATTTGTATGTGCGGCTGCCATTTCCCACCCTACCCTCCCCCGCCACGCCATCAACCTTTAACAAATATATAAAATATCAGAGACTAAATATTACTAAAGGGCTAATATTCTTGATTAGAAAAGCAAACAATAGAACGTTTTTGATAATAAATACAAAAGTAAGTATTTGTCTGTATGCGTGTAAGTGTATAAGTGTGTGTGTGTGTGTGTGTGTGTGTGTTTACGTGTAGATATATATGTATATATATATATATATACGCCTGCAATATATGTACATACGTATCATAACATTAATAATTGACGGCACAACAAGAAATATTTATTATTACTGCTGCTATTTAGCGATGTTTAGGGAATGCTAGTCTATGGTGTTCAGTTTCATTATAATGCTCTCTCCTCTTTAATCAGCAAAAAAATATTCTTATTAATTTTTTGCAATGTAAGAATTCAAGGAGAAAAGCATATTTATATTGGAATGAATTTTGAAGACGCCCCAACCAGGCGGCCTTTTCGAGCTTTTCGAGCATTGAGTTTACCAAAAAGAGCTTCCGGCGCAATAGGTAAGGTAGGTTAATGGCCAAGTCTCCTCCATAATCGGAGCTCATGGAAGGCGAGAATGTGATCCATACTTTCAGTACTTGTGAGTCTCGGTACCAGACGAACTGTGTTATGCTTACGTATAAATATCTCCACAGCAAGTGCATATAAAAGAGATTTCCAGACAAATCAAATTCTTTAATATGACTATGTCAAGTTTTTCTCCTGAAACTACCGCTATAGGATACGATAGAACAGCGTATCTCACCACTGTTCCCTGCCTCTTTAAATGGGCTGGCTGTCTTTGGAACAATCTAACTGGGATGGTCTCTTACACTGTCCAAAATATTCTTATTTTCATTACACGTACGTGCTCTACAACGAACTCTAGAACCTATAATCTTTCCTGGCCGTCAACTGAGAAAAAAAGGTGAAAAGTCTCCTCAAAACTATGAGACATCGCCTTCATAGAATATTCTTCTTGGTGCCTTTTCGATCAAATTTCACTTTGCTTTTCTCTTCTGCTAAAGAGATTTAAAAAAAAGAAATTAAATTCCTGGCACGTCTATCCATACGGAAAATGCGAGACGAGCGATAGAGTCACTTTTCTCCATATAATATAATAATCCATGAGTACTAAGGATCGTTACGTTTCAGCGCTCGAAATAATCAATATAGTCCATGGTTTCTGAAATTCTTGCCGATTAATTTGTGTCGCATCAACTAACGAAACCATGCCTAAATCTTATAATGACTTGATCCATTTCGTATTCCACGTTCGGCGTTTTATTTCAGTTACCAAGAATAGCCTACGCAGGCATCACAAGTTTTAATTATTACTTTCCTTCTTTCTAAATTTTGAAAAATTTTGACCTATTATTGTTGGGCATAATTTCGACTCGATTATTTCTACAACTAGAAACTAACTCTTATAGTGTTCGCAATCAACGTTCATCTGTGTACAATAACGAGCCCACAATCTTAACTTTCCATGCTTACGTTGCTAAGCCTACGTTTATGGTAAGTTACCACGAAATTTGATAGGAGCCGCATACTAATAATAAGCATCACTGTGTGCATTAGCATAATAAGTAGTTCGGCGTGAATAAACATTACATGTTTTATGTATTTATTAATTTTCTTCTTTTTTTTTTTCATCCAGGAGAGCGGGTACTCGCCTGCAACTTATAAGTAAAAATTGTCGTCATTCCAAAGAGACTTGTTCTACTCCCACTGGGATATTAAATGCAATACTTTCTCTATCCTGGGAAAATATATATTAACTTGTAAGAAGATGATATTCGGTTGCGATCGTACCTTTTATAGCCACCAACTTTGCCTTAAAATAGATTAGGAAACATTGCATTGTTGCTGTTTACAGATAATGGGAAAAAATCCATATTTATTTGTTTTTTAAAACAGGGATGTTACACGTTAAGGTTATATTGCGGGCATCCGCTTTGACCGATTTAGTCTGTTTTCAATATCAAAGCCTCTGCAAGAACTTTGAATGCGTCGTGACGTGTCAGAATTTTAAGCCGATGTTTCATATAAGCATTGTGCAGATGTATAGGCAGAAAGACGGCCATACTTAAACCAATTTAGAATTTGATTGTGAGAACTAAATAATGTACACTTTATGGCGATTGTGAAGTTTCTTTCTGCGTGTTGCCAGCATTTGGACAAAATCAATGTATCCACAGCCTTCGGGATGGATATTGGAACGGTAACGGAAAATCATTAAATTGGATTTATATCGTATCGTATTAACACTTGTCAGTAGAGCTTGTATATGCAATTAGGTGGCAGCATACAGCCAAAAATCTATCATATATCGTATCGTATATCGTGTACACTTTTCATGCGATTATTATAAATGGGTGCCAGCATCTCATAACGCACTGGACATGTTAATTCTACACTATAAAGAAGGAAAAAAAATATTATCAACTTTGGCCTGATTGCCGGTGAACCTATTTATTGATTTTTTTAAAATAAACAAACAACGGGGTGGCACACGGGGTGGCACATGTAGAGCATTTGGACCGAAACAGTTTGACGTTGCATCATTTTTAAAGCATTGAGGATTTTTGCACAAACTTGTTGGGACTTATGCTCAATGCTAGACTTAATCACTTTGAGATTTATTTCCCGGGTTCCATTTATTTTCAAAATTTTTGATTACAATTCGTCACATATGCGATATATCGACAAATTAGTAATTCTGATATTTCCTTAACTGGCCTGATAACATTTCTTGCTTCGTCAATTAGACATTTTTGTGTTCATTCATATTTTGACGTAAGGTCAAAGGAGAGAAGTGAACAAATGTTTTGAGCCGTTTTCAAAATGGCATTAGCCGTGACAATTGATATGTATGTATGCATGTATAAAGGTTCGTATCTTTCGTATCTATTTTTTATAGCTTTTGGACACATTTAGAAATCGATTGTAAGATATATCTCACGCCTACTTCTTACGGTATAACTTCAAAAATGAGTATTTGTGATTATTACCTCTAAGTTATTTGCATTAAGGAAAAAAAAAGTAAAAATAAAAATAAAAATAAGTAACAAAAAAAAAAAAAGAAGAGAATTAACCTACTATTACAGTCTATCACCTAATCTAATAATTTTTGTTAATTCAGTTTTTCAAAATTTCGTTTTGTTAATTCCTTAAATAGGACGACATTTTTTTCATATCTATCTCGCTTTCTCTCCTTTTACTGTTTACTATTCGCTGTTGTACATGTGTAACATTCATGTTTGCACGTATATACGGCTTTTCTCATTTATTTTCCGGTATTTTCTAAATCTGTCGTCTGCCGTAAAAGAATGGATTTAACATATAATAAAAATGAAAAAATAGAGCAAAATCGATTCAAATACAAAAAAAAAAAAAAAAAAAGAAAAAAGAAAAAAAAAAGCAAACAATGCTAACGCGTATATGAAACGACACATAAATGAAATCTATTGAAATTCGAACGCATTGATATATGTAACATACCCCACATGTGTTCTTTTCATTTCGGCTTAGGGCTATCGATATCCATGCCTATGGCATATCTATGAACACATACATGTATACATACGTATATATGCTTATATGGAAATATATATATATATATATATATATATATATACACATTCGAAAGCATACAGATATTTATGCTTATTGTTTGGATTTGTATGTTGTTTGCATTTTTCCTTTAAATGATTTATTCCTTTCCTTTATTTACAGTTGCAGGGATTCACAGATTTTTCGCCAAGTTACGAAATTCAATTTGATTTTTATGATCTCAAATGAAGTCTAAGTTAAGTTAAGACTATTTAATTGAAAATCGAATCACAGAATTCGCTAAATATGGTTGCCTTTAAATAGGTGGTCGTAAGGCTGCACTCAGCTTCAATTTATTTATAATATATTATATGTGACGGTATTGCGATGGAATGATATGAATGCAAAGGAATTAAGGATAATCTCCATGAATAAATTCTGGATGATATTTTAATTAGGGCATCTCTAAATCTGACATAAGATATTTGATATTTCAATCTTTTTAGCCGTAAACCCCGAAAAACGTGTAAGAGAGGCAGTTAAACACAAATGCACAAGTGTTTGCGCGAATCCATCATTCGACAAGAGGGGCATCGAGGTTCGATGATAATAATAATAATAATAATAATAATAATAAGTACTTTGCCGCTTGAACTGAGCGAAATTTTTATTTATCCACCTTTTCTTTTCATCGCTAGAAATTGTTTTGTTTGGTGCGTTATTGAGTTCTTGATTTATGTTAGTTAATTCAAAAAGCAAAGTATTACTCGCAAATAATTCTTTTTTTTATTTTTTTTAATCGCTCACACAATCTCTCATCCGTATTTAATTCAATTTAACTTAACGTTGGCTATATACTTCAAATCTATTTACTGAGCAATAATAATGACGATATACGTATATCGTCTTGTTAGCCCGAATTACTTACTGTATATATATATATGTTTGTGTATGCAAGACCGGCATTGATTACCATTTACGCATATATATACATATATATATATATATATATATATATATATCGATGCAATTAAATAATTATTTATTTAAGCTGTTTTATAAATAGAATTATTAAACGCACTTGACTATAAAAGCCATTAGAACCGTTGAAAATATTTCATAATATTTGCTTTAAAAGCATTCACGAAATGCGGTTGCTTGGCATTGCGTTTGCCTGCGCTTTTATAAACATTGGTGAGTGTAAGATTGAAATGAGTTTAAGAATTCAAGTGTGTTCGCAAATAAAATTAATAAAATTATAGCCACCGCTCAGTGCAAACTATCGATGCCCGATGACATCAAAGCGTTAAATGCTCCGGTTATACTTGTAACGAGTGCTCCTAGTAAAGGCTATAAACTATTTCAGCCGATTGCCAGGCACACACAATTTCCCGATGAAAGTAAAATTAAATTAATCTGCACGAATGAAGATAATTTTTTAAAACTGAGCAGTGGAAATCAATTAACATTGACCTGCACTGATGGTGAATTTTTGGATGCAACGGGAGCTAAACGCGAAATTCGGGCGATATCTTGCGAAAAATTACCCACTTACGTGATCAAGAAAACAGCCGAACGATGTGCTATTAACTTTTTCATTTATAGCGTTGGCTATGAGATAGATTCACGATTCTATGGCCCGATCTATAAGATATGTTACGGTGATAATAACCCAGCCGGCTTTTATACGCATCACATAATCAATGGTCAGTCATTAAAATGTAAGTGTTGCGTCAATCTATTCCCTTTATTGTTGCTAATTTGTTGTTGTTGTTGTTGTTGTTGTTGCTGTTTTTGATTTATTGCATAAACACATTTTGTAGATAAATTATCCCGTGGCGCGAAATTTTATACATCTTTAATAACTACAAAATTCATAGCTGAAGATTTGGACGATCTTTACTATCTTCAAAGTCAGTTGAAAGTGTTTAAATATCTTAATCACAATGGCAGATCGATTGTGAATGATTTTAATTATTTCGTCGAGGGTCGATTGACACCCGATGCTGATATGATTACATTTTATGAAAAATTATGCACTTACGATTATGCAAATGTTATACCACAATTCCGAACGGTTCGTGATGGCAATGTGCTGCTTGTTGAGAAAAGGTTACGTGACTTAGCAATGAAACAAAATCTTAAGCTTGATGTTTATAGCGGATATTTTCAAACGTTGAAAATGAATCTTGAAGGCCAAGACAAATACATTTACTTGGATAACCAAGCTGAGCTTCCTGAGCATCCGGTACCCCAATACATTTACAAATTTGCCTTTGACAAATTCAATAGCTCTGGCATAGTGTTCATTATACTAAATGATCCCTACAGCGCAAGATCGGGCCAAGTAATGAAAGAATTGTGCAAGAATGTATGCGAAGAAGCCAATGTCAAAACACGACGATTCAGACTGCGAAAAAATGGATATACCACCTGTTGCCGTTATTCGGAGTTTAAAAGAAAAATTCGAATCCTACCTGAAACTATCGAAGTCAAACACATACTCAAATGGTACTAAAATTATTATAACATATTTTGTGAGGCAAAATTTGATGAAGATAAATAGACCAACAGCATGGCATGTTCATATAATAATTTCTTTTACCGTGTTACGGCAATCCATATATCAAGCGTAGTACGTTTACTTAACTTGCCCTGAACTTTACTAAATATCAGCTCAGAATTTTTAACCCGGCTACTTTAATGTGTATGTTTCTGCTTTGATGATCTATACTATTTACGTTTTAAGCATTTTACTGAGTCTTATTTTTAAAGATTTTTTTTTTTTTTTTTTTTTTTTTGTTAAGACATGTCCTGACAACAACGTAACTTGAAACAGTTGATATATACAGAAATGATTAGCCAAGACATATAATTATATATGTAGGAAATGGCGTGAAGGGAGGAGGTCCGCTTTCTCAATGGAAAATTGTTTAGTCGCCTTTATCAGCTAGAAAGTTTATCGATTCGTTTAATTCTTCTTTTCTTTTTTTTTTCGTTTTGTGCCCATCAAGCCACACAGTGGCCCCTTTGTGTTCATCAATTTATTTATTGCGGCATTTGCTTATTCCTTTTCCGTCATGCTGTCGCGTTCGTATAGGCTGCTAACTTGTAATTGAAATTTCGCAGATATGGTTTCGGTTCAAGTTCACAAATCATTCGCAGATCTATTCGTTGTAATAAAAAAAAAAAAAGAAAAGAAAAGTGAAGCATAAATGAAAACCCATAATCCATAACCCATGCATTGACCTCAAATACAACTTAAATGACAAGCATGCATCAGCAGAGGGTATATTTTTTTTTTTTGGAAATTTTTCCGATACAAAATATTAAAAATAGTTCGCGTGGTTTAAAACTACGTTTGGTCAATGGTATCATCAAGATGTTAATACAAGTGTTCATTCCAGAACAGTGTGGTTACAATCTTTTTGAACGTCACTTTTCTAAGGTCGATTTGCGGTCGCGACTGCTCAGGCAACCGACGTTCGGAAGATGAATTTCGAATCTTTGGTGCTTGGTAGCCGACTGCTTAATAAGTGCTCTCATATAAGGCAATAGTCATTCAAAATCGACTGAGCTCTATCAAGCTCTTCATTCATTCTTTATGTCTTTATGCCGGACGGCCGGAAGTGGGCCAATGACTTTGTCAATTTTTCAATTCGATGAAGGAGCTTATCTGCAAGATGCGCAAGATGTTTGAGAAGAACGTTCTTTAGTTCAAATTATTTCCTCTATGTAGGTTCTACACGTGCACTTGTCAATCAGTCGATGTTACCCCTGATTATAAGAAATTCTTCTGTGTGAAAGCAGATTCATTTTTAAACTTAAGCCATATGACATTTTTCATTAACTTTACGTATTAGGTGAAAATATTTTTACGTCATCAATGGTTACAACGCAATCTTCAAGATCAGTTTAATCCTTAAAGTCATCATTAGTTTCCTTTACGATGTGGCTGATGTCGGAGACAACTAAATGACAAGATGGTGCAACATTTTGTTCAAAGTTCAAAGTAGGAGATTATTACGGACTTTTTGTGTTTATGCTACTAACAACAGCAGTAGCGCTGTTAGTTAGCAGCCATTTGAGCAGCCTTGCTCTCTCTGTTATTTGTATGATCTGAGGTTCTGTTAATAGTTTCTTGCTATGCTTTACATAGAAGTGTCTATGCACGCAACACAGCAAACAGTAGGTAGTGATTTGTTTTCCTCTTCCTTCCTCGTTTGTTTAACCCGTTAACGTAAACAACGTCAATGGACGTCCATTGCCTGTGCTTGTAGACGCAAACGACGTCCATAGTAGTCCTATATTACTAAAAAAATTTTAACGCATGTCTATCACTGTTGATTTTACCACCATCTAAACTGTTTAGTCTTCTTTTAATAATAAATGATTTTGCATTTTTCGCTTGGTGATGCAATTATTTTATTTCAATTATGCTTAGAATTGAAATTTACTTGCCTTGGTAGTGCTTGTAGAATTTAGCGACGTGGATAGCCGCCAATATTTCATGTACTCTGTTTTGGCCTTTCTTCTGTTTGTTTGAAATAATTACCGAAAGTTCTCACCGCTTATTACTGAGTTTCTACACATTTTGTTTCACACTCTTCTTATTGGTATCGTATTCTTTTGCCCTTATGCAAAATCGCGGGCGAACGAGATTGCAGCGAGGACGATTACTGCGAAAGTGAAGAGCTGTCTTCTTCATATAGTATAGTAGATAAAAGTGAGGAACGTGATTTATTTATGTTCCTCCCCGTCGACGGCTAATTTCTATGGTTTATAATTCTGAGACTGGACACCATGAGCATAATCGTGGCTATGAAACTGAATGGCGCGAAGGATATAATCACAATTAGAAGGTTTGACTTTAATGAATCAATTCGCATTGAAGTCTACGATCTATTTTTAATAAAATCTTTTCTGAAACAGATACGAGAAACATTTATGCGATCGCCTAAAGAAAATTGCGGGAAATTTAATTGAAAGAAATCATAATAAATAAAAAAGAATTAAGGAAACTCTTTGGATTGTGCTTATTGCGATCCCAATGAAAATAACTATTCATCCGTTTGTAATTTACTTGGTAATCAGGACCTCGACAATTCAACAATTATTACAGTGTGTAAATAGCGCTGAAAGACTACATATAGAATTCTTTCATTCTTACTTAATTCAATTTTATGAAATTTTCTAAAAAGCATACTCAACTAAAAAAACAACAGGTCCACTAAGCTCTCGATATAATATATAGTAGGGACGAAATCCAAATATGGAGTAAAATTCTATGAGTTAACTATTACTAGCGACGGTTATAGATATTTATCAAGCAAGGCAGGACATCCCTAATATATTATCGAAAGCAAATGATCTCATTATACGTTTACGTGAAGCCGTATTTGAATAAAGAATATAGTATTGAACTGTTCAGTAAGTTACTAATTCGCATCTTCTTTAGTATCAAGCAATATTTTATTGAAAAAATTTCGACACAAGAGAATAACAAAAGAAGTAAAACATTTCGCTCTGTCATTGGCTTTATGCTACAAATCCTTCTTGAAATTAAATTACCTATGGTATTAGGAATTTTTATTCTTGTTTATTTCAATTTTCAAGTTTGTCTAAACTGAATTAAATTAAATAAGTATATGGTGGCAAATCATTTGCAAAATAATGTTATGTTTATGAAAATATAACTTTGTCATTTTTTTACTAAATTATTTTTAAAAACTATCATTAGATATCAAGACGTCTATAGCTGTGTTTTGCGTAGAAGAGAAATCATAGCTGTCGACGGAGACGTCGACCTCGTTTTATGAAAATTTATTGAAAAGTACAACAATTCTAAACTGTAAATATGAAATCTATGATCGAATTCCCCAAGAATCAGTTACAATTGGCAAAAGAAAGAAGTAGAAGTTTTTAGAAGCACTCACCGATTTCAAAGTAAGCATGATCGTGCCAAATTATATATGATATTCTTTACACTATTGTAGAATATCCTAGAACATTCTAGAGTATATTCTAGAAATAAATAGATAACGTGTCATGTACAATGACTCACATGTGAAACGGAAAATTCTACAAATACATCAGATATATATACATACGCAACTGATTAGTATTAAGACGCATGGCGAACATAAAATTTAGACGTCTTCAATGCGGAATAAATGATGAAAAGAAAGCAATAAATTACATTGTATGGTACATACATAACTATTGTTTACTTTCTTTTTCGTACATATGCACTTATGCGTAAAGCATAGCGCATATTCACTTGATTACACGCAATTGGGTATATTTCTGCTTTACAAACGGTCGCGAGCATGTGACGCCTTAACAAAAAATTATTAACCGAATCTTTGCTCATGCAGATAATGAGAATATAAGAGGAAGCAGCCAACTAAAAGCGTTACTACCCTTATCAGAGCAGGTAACAGAAGCACACACCGTCCATAATAATCTCCTAGTTTGAATTTTGGATAAAATTTTGGACGATCCTGTCATTTAGTTGCAGTTGATATGCATGCCGCATGCATGGTTATATATATATATATATATATATATATGTATATATATATGTATATATAGATATATGTACACATCATTCTTTATATACACCAGCAACTGCAAAAATAGTTTGAATTTAATCATGATGACATTTTCTTCTTTCACATGTTTATCCGCTTCGAATGCATTGATGAAGAGAACACGGAGCGGAAAGCGCGAAGAGCTGAAAAAAGAAAATGAAGAAAAAGAATAGCAAAGGCATTAAAGCAAAATACGTTTTTTCTCTTTATTTTCCACATAGGTCGTCTCTATGAATTTTTCATTTCTATTAATTTTGCGCTGTCAGCTTCTGATTTACAAACGTTTACGCAGACATAGACATAGAAGCGCGGGCGGGCGCCACACATGCATTCGCTGGTAACGCGAGAAATGTTTGCGGAAGAAAGAATGATAAGAGAAGCAACAATAGCAATAATAATAATAATAATAATAATAATAATAATAATAAGAACAACAATAACAACAACATCAGTAACATTATTTGCATGTTGTCTATGTGAGCAAATTTAGTTGTTCTGCCATCAGTTAGAGAGGATTGAGTCGAATTTGGGTTGAATATGTTATTGTTGTGCGTTTGTATATTTTAAAGTGTGACTGCTCACAGATGCATCTAAAAAGGTCTTATGTCTGTGAGCAGTGTGCAAATGTGTTTGTTTGCACCTGCGGAAAATTACTGCAGTAAAAATTTTTCTGCCCTCACAAACACATTCCCACACCTCCTAGTTGTTGTCATCCGCCTATTTATTCCTTCTCCTTTTTTTATAGATATGCCGGTGGTGTCATGTCAAGCAGGATAACAGCCATATTCTTTGCGCGTGTACACGTACCCACACATACACTCTTTTTTTTTTTCATGCATGCTTGCTGCACGTACAGTTTGTTATATATATGTATATATGTATATACATGTCGCTGACAGTTAAGTTTTTCAGTCATTCATTCATTCAGTTTAGTTTATAGATTGTAACTGCATTTTAATGTCATGTTTCTTATTTATATGTCAACGTCGCCGTGGTTTCTTCTCTGCCTTCTTTATTTTTCCTTACAACTTTTAACTTAGTTATTATAATTTATTTTCTTTCTTAGTATTATTAGCATTATTTATTTATTTATTTTATTTTATTTTATTTTTTTTTTATTTTTTTATTTTTATTTTTTGTTTTGTGATAAGA